CTTTAAGTCGTATCTCCTCCTCAACGAAGCAATATCGAGGACTAGTTCCAAAGCAAATATGTTAAGCAAGTTCCGAGGATGATTGTGGGCCAAAAAAATTCCCGGAATTCCTTCCTGGATTTCCCGGAAAAGCCAAAAAAAACTTGAAAAAATGCAGTTTTTGGCCCATATCTCGGCAACCAGACCACTTAGCGACTTGAAACATTTACCAATCGATTCCTGCCATAATTTAAACAATATTGCCGAAGAAAGTTTTCAAAAATATCCTTTCGTTCGGTCACAAAAAAAATAATTAAGGAAATTGCGCTTAAATTGTCACTAGACTTTTTATTAACTTGTTTTAAAGATTAAACATGTTGTCTGAGACTTGGCGAAACACTGGGCAGGTGAAGTAGTGTTGGGTAGGTGTAAAGTTCACCTGTGACGACAGCATATGAAGAGATAGTGTGGTCAGACCAAATCTGTGTTTTCACAGACAAAAACATGTCTGAGTTGGGAGGACACTGGGCAGGTGAAGTAGAGTTTCAAATTAAATTATCTGCCCCTAATAGCCGTCACTAAACCCGGCTCTACGATTGTAAATATTTAGCGTGAACCACAGCTCACCAGACTTCCTAGAGAGGAAGAGAGGGTACTGCAAGGCGCGCTTACAGCTTGTTTTCTCACTTCTCCAAGAAGAGAATTATATAGATAGATAGATTGGTCATTAACAAACATTTTAAACAACTTTGTCCAAATTTTTGGGCTTGTGATTGAATTTTCTTTAGTTATTTGGTATCGATTTCATAAAAAATGGTTTAATATCTAAGCAAGGAAAAACAAAACAACTAAGAACGTTGGGTTAAAACGTGGGAGAGGTAAAAATCTGTTATTATAGTGAGAAGTTTGGCATTAGCTTATAAACTCCAAAACATGTATGTGTTATTATGTGTGCATATATATATATATATATATATATATATATATATATATATATATATATATATATGGGTTATTTATATAATGGAAAAAAGCAGGCCCCGCGCGGATGGTTGTCACTAGGCCCCGCGTATTTCTAACGCCGGCTCTGTCTGTGTGTGTGTGGATGCTTGTGTGTGTGTATGTATGTATGTCTGTGAACACGATAACTTGAGTACTCTTACAGCTAGGTTGATAGGGTTGCCAGGTGTCCAGTTTTGAACTGGACAGTCCAGTGTTTGAGCAGACTGTCCAGGATAAAATAAATATAAATACTGGACAAGTATATGAAATAATACTCTGTTACCCCCCCCCCCCCCCTTCTTCTGCTTTGCGGCATACCTGAGAAGGGAAGGATGGAAAGGTGTCCAGTAATTTCGGAAAAGGTATCTGGCAACTCTATAGGTTGATGAAATTTCATATATAAGTATTATATCAAATTTGTAGTTCTGTAACAACTTTTCAGCGATTTCCGGTGAGAGGTCGTCAATAAATGACGTCACACTCGTAGGGGTAGGGGGGGTCCGTAATTTTGTGAGGGGGGGGGGGGGGGGTTCAGATGGTGTGACGTTAAACTTTTGAGATATAAAAAAGCAATGTTAGAAAACGAGTTTTAGCCGTTATTTCGCGTTTTAGAAACGGTTTTTAATAAATTGTAATAGGAATTGATTAAAATACTCTATATTGACAGAGTTTTGGGGTCATCCATAAATGACGTCACGCTTTTTTTGACGATTTTTCCCTCCCCCCCTCCCCTTCGTCACACGTCGTCACAAAAAGCCAGACCCCCCACTAAAATGACGTCACACCTCAACCAACAACCCCCCTCAAAATTGCAGTTGAATTTTTTTAAAACATCGATAAAAATCTTGACTAAACTATTACAATCTATTAAAACAGTTATCTAAAATGCGAAACAACGTCTAAAATTCGTTTTCTAACATTGCTTTTTATAATGCAAAAATGTGACGTCGCAACATCTGAACCCCCCCCCCCCTCCCCCTCATCACACATCGTCACAGAATTACGGACCCCCCTCCCCCCTACGATGATGACCCCTTTTCAGAGGCGTAGCGAGGGGGGGGGCGAGGGGGACATATGTCCCCGGGCGCCGACCTTAGGGGGGGCGCCAAATTGAAAGTTTGAGGGGGGGGGGGCAAATGAAAAGTTCGAGGGGGGGGTGCAAATCGAAAATTTGCTCCCGAGGGGGGCGCCAAATTGAAAGTATGTCCCCGGGCGCCGGGAAGGGTCGCTACGCCTCTGCCCCTTTTGGAAAAATATCGTTGTTTAAGATAAATTCAACAGCAATTTTGAGGGAGGGTTGTAGCCTAAAGTTTGACGTCATTTTGGGGTGGGGGTTTGGCTTTTTGTGACAATGTGTGACGGAGGGGAGGGGGGAGGTAAAAATCGTCAAAAAGCGGGAGTTTATTTATGGATGACCACTAACCGGAAGTGGTACTTATTCTACTTTGTTTTTCAAAAGCCTATAACTTGAGTACTGTTTCAAATAGATAAACGAAATTTCACATACAAGTGAAAGTTCTAATTCTCTACCTTCTGTTAAATTTTGAGTAGTTTCCATTGACCGGAAATAGTACTTTATGTATATTTTAAAAAGTTTAAGTAATTAAAAATAGATTAAAAAATCATGTCTATATATACCGAGTTGCCATCCCACGTAGTGTTATATAAGTATATTCGAGAAAGTTTAGGGGAGATCACTCCCATTTTCCCCCTTCTTTTTACTTTCTCGTATCGTATACTGAGTATAAAATATTGTAATCGTGTGCAAAATTATATGAGATTAACAGTTTTTGACGTTTTACATCTCCCCACTTCATCTATTATGGAATATAAAGGATGCGTTGTAATCGTGCACAAAACTAAATCAAGATTTTGGAAAATTTTGATGTTTATAACCTCAAGTAGCCGCAAAATCTGTGTTTTTCAGTCCTGTCCATGTGTTTGTTTGACTGTTTGTGTATATACAAACGCTAAATTTAGTACTGTTTCAGTTATGATTACCGAATTTCACACACACACACACACACACACACATATATATATATATATATATATATATATATATATATATATATATATATATATATATATATATATATATATATTATAATATTATATCAAATTAGTATTATTTAATAAAATTTTGGGCGATTTCTGGTAAAGAAAGTGGAACTTACTCTACTCAACAGCCCATAGCTTTTAAAGTTTTGTGGACGAAATTTCAAATTTTAGTATTAGATTATATGCGCATGTTTCTGCAGATTTTTGAACGATTTCAGGTAAATATTAAGTAAATAGAAATGGAACTTTATTTTTGTGGTAACACGATAGTCTGAGTGCTGTTTGACCTGGCTAGACGAAATTTCATCTAGATCTAGACTAGAGCTATAATACTAATAATACACATAAGAATGACATAAGATCTACTACCTAGATTACTCTCAAACAGTGGCGCAGGTAGGGGGGGGGGGGTTAGGGGGGTCATAACCCCCCCCCCCCCCCCACATAGACCCCTCGGTGTATATATATATATATAGTATGAGGGGGGTGCAAATCGAAAGTTTGTCCCCGGGTAAAAATTGGAACCCCCCCTTGAGACGATCCTGGCTACGCCACTGCTCTAAAATATTAAGTAATCTCCAATTTCAGGTTTCTAAAATAGAGACGATATTAGCACCTTTTAGGTAACAAAAATGAATACATATGTACAATATCTTTTTCTCTTGAGTGATTTCCGGTGACCGAAAATAGTTCTTTATGGTATTTCCGAGTCCTCAAAAAAAATATTTATGACGGTCCGATGTCTGTCAAACTTTTCACGTTGATCAAGACTAGATGACATTGCACTGTGACATAAGATGTGACTTAATTAGATGATTATTTAACTTTTAAAGAATGAATCAAAGAATCAAAGTTTGTACCAATTTTCTTCTCAATATGCACACATTATTTAAGTTCATTTGGTGCACAATTCTTTTTATACTCTATTCTATTCTACAAAGTATTTTTAAAAATAATTTTAAAAATGCATAAAGCTTTTATGTAAAAATGCACTAAAAAGGAGAAAATAAATTATTTTCTTTCAATATATAATAATTCACTACTATTTAAATAACTATAAAGAAAAGAGTGGGTTACTAACTATATTATCGATTGAATACCTTTACAAATATTTAGGAAGAGACCCACGCTTTTCTTTATAGTTATTAAAATGACATATTTAAAGAAAATCATTTATCCTCTCTTTTTTAGTGCATTATTACATAAAAGCTTGTTATTAAAATGTTTTTCATGCATTTTTACTTTCTCATATAGATCTACACAGTATAGAGAAGAAATTGTAATCATGCACAAAAATCACATGAAATTTTGACAGTTTTCACTGTTGTACACATCAATACTTCATCATTTACAGCGTATAGGGGACTTATTTTATTCTGGCAAAAATTCTAAATCTAAATGAACATGAAAATGTGCATATAATAGTTCGGTAAATAGTAGGACCCCCTACTTTATTTAGTAAATTTTAATTAATATATAAAAAATTGATTAGATATCCAACCAAGTCAAATTTGATGTCATAAGGTTGTGAACCACATGCAAAGTTTGAAGCTAAATTAGTTAGAAGTGCTCGATTTACAAGTCACAAACTTGAATGAGTTTACAGTTAAACCAACATAGGCAACTCAAGTTCCGCTGTGCTATTAAGTTTTTTTGCTACTGCCATATAGGTTTTTTATGGGCCACTTATGAACTGACCCATGACTACCCATAGAGAGCTGACACAACAAAGACAGTAGTGACAAACATTCTTTAAAAAACTAGGCACCTTGGTTACTGTTATTAAATATATTCATTAAGCAGCCTGTCCTTAAATTATCTCATGATGTGTATGCTAACGAGCGAGGGATAAATTGTGCAAGTATCAAAAGGTTGATTAAATTGGACTCATTGTTCAACTCATTAAATAATAAATTTTCACAAGAAAATCACAACCAAAAAATAACCAAAAACTGAAGTTCAAATATAAAACGATTTAATCAAGCAAATTTCACAGTCCACCAAACAATATGACTATTTTTACATATACAATGCATCCATATTAAAACCCATTCAGAAATACATATTAATTCACACATTCACTTAAATGCCATCATCTCAAACACACGTCATCTGCCTCACATATTCACTTACATTCACTTACATTTACATATCATCTCAAACACAAGTCATCTGCCTCACATATTCACTTACATTTACATATCATCTCAAACACACGTCATCTGCCTCACATATTCACTTACATTTACATAACATCATCTCAAACACACGTCACCTGTCTCACATATTCACTTACATTTACATATCATCTCAAACACACGTCACCTGTCTCACATATTCACTTACATTTACATAACATCATCTCAAACACACGTCATCTGCCTCACATATTCACTTACATAACATCATCTCAAACACACGTCATCGCCTGCCTCTTCTCTTCATGGCTGCTGTGCACTGAGGGCAATACCATTTTCCTTTTGGTGCTTGTGACAGTCCCACACAGCCATAATGAAACCACTCTATAGGACACTGGTACAAGCAGAAATAATTGCTTTAAAAGCTATTCGCACAATTAAAAACATTTATTAACATCAAGCCTAGTATTATAGAACTTTTTATTTTTGCCTAACTTCTGCAGGAATACTTACATCATTGTTATCACAGCCGACCATTTCTCCGTATGAGACCTGGTTACACAGGCAGTATCGCGGTTCATTCGGATCAGCACTCCACTCATCCACTTGCACATCAGCTGATGGATCTTCTGTGTCCACACTTGCTACTTGAGGAGTTGCTGGTCTGGATGTGCCAGACACTGCTGCAGCTGTTGTTGTGTGTTGTTGTTGCTGTTGTGCAGCCAATGCTGCTGCTTTAGATGTTTGTCTATTTAGAGAAAACAATTTTTGGCTTATAAACACTATATTTAATTAGAAACAAATGAAAAAATGTAACTTTCCTATATTGATAATGCCTTTTCAAAAGGTTATATTTTGAATTGCAGAGCTAGTACATAAATTTTGACAGGGTTCCTGCTCCAAAGTGAACCTGAAATCCCAGGAGAATTCCAGGAGTAAAACGAGAGATTTTAGGACATAATGTAATGTATTAAAAAATCAACCTCAACCTCTACTAAATGGAAGGAAGTTTGACATTTGTGATATATTAAATGTTATGTGGTATAGCTTGTCTTTTTAAAAAGGAAACTTTCTAAACCGGATACTTCAGTTAAAGTAGATTCTCTATTAGACTGACACTTTTCTTATACAATTATTGTCTGTCATCTGAGTCTGTTTTTAGACCCTCACATCACCACCTCTTACTCCCTCCCCTAACCTACCTCAAAAGAAGACAATTCTACAGAGATGACAGTCATTTTTTTTATTGCCACCCCCTCCCCAAAAAAACAGTTTTTAATTTCACAATATTTGAAAAGTTTAAGAAAATATTTTTTCAACAATAAAAACTAAGTGAAACTGTAAATCATTAATCTGTTTGCACTGTTGTTTTCAATTCAATGATTACTGAAACAGTAAGAGTCAATTCACTTAGTAAACCATGGTTAACTTTTAAAGATGGAGATGGTATTATGATTTTGTTTAATGGAAGTCTTCTACAATAAATATCCTAGCTTTAATTCTAACATCAGTGATGGACAATGACATCAACCTGAATAGCTGAAACTAGCTAGCACCTGCTATAAATTTTCAAGAAACTATTTTGAAGATGATAATTGAAAATACAAAATATTTGAGCCAAAAATAGATATCCTGATTAGAAAGCTCATAGTTTTTTAAATTGTGTGTAACATATTTTTTTCCAAACAAGAGACGGTCAAGAGGTCACTTTGAGTTCACACCTAAGCTTACAAGCTTTCGGTTGTCATAGGATGTAACAATGCTATTTGAGAATGATGACGACATCACTTTAATTATTCTAGTGGGTTAAACCAGCAATTCCCTCCCTCGATGAGAAACTGCGGGAGGGGAGGCTGGTTGTATTACCACATGCATGTAAATAGGAAGTAGACCCATGACTTAGTGGACAATGGAATCAAATTAGCTGGGTTAAAACTAGATGAACTTATCAAATTAGCTGGGTTAAAACTAGATGAACTTATCAAATTAGCTGGGTTAAAACTTGATGAACTTATCAAATTAGCTGGGTTAAAACTAGATGAACTTATCAAATTAGCTGGGTTAAAACTAGATGAACTTATCAAATTAGCTGGGTTAAAACTAGATGAACTTATCAAATTAGCTGGGTTAAAACTAGATGAACTTATCAAATTTACTTGCACTTGTGGGGAGACGTGACCAGTTTATATCTATGTTTCAGTTTATGCCTAGTAAGTGCAGAATCAACAAAGAGCGTAAGCAGAAAATCTTACTGGGAGGGTCATATCTGATTACCTATAACACATGAAATAAAATTCCAGAAGAATTCCAAAACATGGTGAATTTGACGAGGCAGCAAGAACCCTGTTTATATGAGATACACTTTTTAAAGAACTTAAAATACAACTTTACTTTTTTGTGCGCTGTGATCTAGGGGCAGGTTCTGGCGTGGAAGGTGCTGAGGCAGGCTGGGAAACATTTAAGCTGATGTCTTTTGACAATGCTGCTGGATTTTTTGACATTAAATCGTAACTAGCTTTCATACTTGAAGTTCGTCGACCTTGAGCCAACTAGAGAAATATAGGAAAAATTGAGTGCTCTCTCAAATAAAGATTTAGCAAAAAGTTTAAAGAGAAGAATAGACAAACCTGCTGTGTGGCTGCAATGGCTTGTGATGCTGCTGCTGCTATTGCAGGGTTACCAGCACCAAGGTTTCCTAATGTATAGGACAATCCTGAACTGGAGCCAGAGCCAAACATTTTCATGGCAGGTGAACTGGAGGTAGAGTTGGGCCGTTTTGGGCCTAAAGATTCTCTAACAACTTCATTGGCGAGGGATGACAAAACATCAGTGACTGGTCTCTTATCTGTTGGATTTGGAGCTGATGACTGGGAATGGGTTAAACGCCTCTCTGATGTAATATGTAAATATAGAAAATAATTAGCTGCATAAAATAAAGCAAAAATTATTTGTCTTTAATTACACATTTCAATACACACCCTGCATACTATTGGCTGGTAGACAATTACTAGATAAAAAATATCTTACTTTCTGATTTGTGATTTGTGAAATTAGGTGGGGGCTTATCCAGTTCTAATGATCCTGTTGAAGAAACAAAACAGATTTGAGCATGTTTTTAGTTAACTTCCTCCCTTCGTCTGTCTTTGTCATGGGTAGAAAATGACAAAGAAAATTTTGACCACTTCTACCAAACTGATTTCTTTCAAAACCTAAAATGTCAGTCAAAGCTCAATGACAATACAGTGTGACATAATATTAGATTTATCTGGATGTTTAAGGATTAATTAAAGCTACCTATATAAAGTATTAATTTTCTGCGCTATCATACACAGTTTGCATTCATTTGGTGTGCCATTCTTTTTACCTAGTGATTCATGCCATACAAATTTTAAAAGCATCAATTTAAAAAAAAAACGTTTTAATCATAAGCCTTTATCTAATTACGCACTTTAAAAAATTAATTCTTTCCTTTTAATATATAAAAAAGGCACAAATATTTAATGTCAATAACTAAAAAGAAAAGTGTGGGTTGCTATATTATGCACTGAATACTTTATCACCCGTTTTCTTTTAAGTTTGTGAAATAATGGTGCATTTTTATATATTTTAAGAAAATCATGTATGTTCTTTTTAGCGCATAATTAGATAAAAAGCTTGTTACGTAAACGTTTTTTTTACTATTTTTAAATTGACAGAAACAGTCTTAAATGAGTTGAGTAAAATGATGAGTTGAGTAAAATGATGAGTTGAGTAAAATGATGAGTTGAGTAAAATCATGAGTAAAATGATGAGTTGAGTAAAATGATGAGTTGAGTAAAATGATGAGTTGAGTAAAATGATGAGTTGAGTAAAATCATGATTACTTTTTTCTAAAACTTCTGTGATTCCAGCATTATCAGCTTCTAATTCCATTTTGAATTTGGAAAGTTCTTGGTCGAGTCTTCTGGAATGTCTATCCACCTATAAAACAAACCAAAAAAATAAAAACCAGGTTAGATAGTATCAAGAGATTATCATGACTTGCAGTGAACCTAAGTAGACTTACCAGCTCATAAATATGATTTGCCAACTGGACTTTTTCATCTGTATCTTCTAATGCCTTGTAATATTCCTGATATTGATTCATTAAAATATAAAGTTTACTTTTGTTAATTAATAATACTGGCTACATAAGAGAAAAAATTACCACTAGTTAACCAAATTTTTCAATTTAAATAAAGGTAACTGAAAATGTCTTACATTTCCGCAAGTTTTAGATTGAAATGTTTTGTACAGTTATTAATAAATAAAATTTTCTCCATCAATTTTAGTCAAACACCGGTTTCTAAATCTCTTTAAAACGATTTATTCAAATTAAATTTTTAAATGCCATGCAGGTGTCTCCTTCAATTTAAAAGATAAAATAATCCCACCATCTTATATGAAGGACATATTGCCCTGTAGTTTAAAAACTGATTGAGTGAATAACTGGACAAATACCTCTTTAATCTTTTTAAATTGCTCTTCTCTCCATTCCTTCTTGCTATTAGGTTGCTGACATTTCTTGAAAAATGTTTTCACGCTCTCTTCCAGTGTATCTAAGGTATCTAAATACAAACATTCAAAGGTATCTAAATACAAACATTTATATAAAGGTATCTTAGTACAAAATTTAAAGGTATTTAAATACAAACATTTAAAGGTATCTAAATTAAATACAAACAGTTAAAGTTATCTAAATTTAAACATTTAAAGGTATCTGAATACAATATTTAAAGTATAAAGTTATCTAAGTACAAACATGTAAAGGTATCTGAATACAAACATTTACGCCCATTTTTTAAGATGCTAAAATTAATTTTAACCACAAAAATAAAGTCTAACAAGAATACTACAAATGCTTCACTTATTTCATTCAGGAATTTAAAAAATGTAAACAAACTTGAAACTTGTAAATCCATCTCTCTCATTTCTGTTAGTTTTTCTCTCATTTCCATAGGCAGATTCTCAATTACTGAAAAAAATAAAAATTCTGATTTCATTCAAATTTCATATTTTTCCCTTTTCCTAGTCTGGGTCTAATATCTACCTGGCCTTTCTAATCAAATGCTTTCTAAAAAAAAAGTAAAACTGAGCTTACTATTACCCAAATTGATATTCAGAATTTTAATGAATAGAATTACACATGTTAAATGGGATCAACAACTTGGGTTTGCGTTTTAAAATATGCACTTAATAGCATATGACAATAAGCTATTTTAGACCACTATAGCTTGGATGAATATAAAAAAACTAGCTAATGTTCCCTTGACTGGTGTATAAAAGAAGCAGCTTCTTCTTCTTCGTTCTTAATTTTTAGTGTTGGGAGGGATCGAGCCTTATCTGCCAGAGGTTTTGAACTCAAGACTTTTTTTCGAATTTATCAACCATGAGCTTTGCCGACTCGACCATGCTTCCATCACAACTAAGGATTACATGTCAACTGGTTATGCACCATTGAGGCCATTGACTCCGATTTCAGCCTGCTTTTCTTTATGGATTTGCTTTCATAGCCTTTGTCCAACCAAGAACAAACTACAAGGCAGCAGTTGTTTGATTTTGGAGTTGTCTCTCCTAGAAGAGTGGCTGTCCCAAGCTAGCGAGCCTCATCTGCCCGAGGGTTCAAACTCGAGACTTTTCGGTTTAGCAACCATGAGCTTTACCGACTCGACCACGCCAACCCCCAAAGAAGCAGCTAATGTTCCCTTGACTGATACTGTTGAATAAAAAAAGAAGCTATTGTTCCTTGACAGAGAATGGTGTATAAAAGAAGCAGCTAATGTTCCTTGACAGAGAATGGTGTATAAAAGAAGCAGCTAATGTTCCTATACTGATACTGTTGAATAAAAGAAGCAGCTAATGTTCCCTTGACTGATACTGTTGAATAAAAAAAGAAGCTATTGTTCCTTGACAGAGAATGGTGTATAAAAGAAGCAGCTAATGTTCCTTGACAGAGAATGGTGTATAAAAGAAGCAGCTAATGTTCCTATACTGATACTGTTGAATAAAAGAAGCAGCTAATGTTCCCTTGACTGATACTGTTGAATAAAAGAAGCAGCTAATGTTCCCTTGACTCTTACTGTTGAATAAAAGAAGCAGCTAATGTTCCTATACTGACTGAGACTAGAGCAAGCATTGTTTACTACAGTTTGTCCAGACAGAAATAGAAGAGACTTGAGAGGGAAACAGTTAGTGAGAAGGTTAAGTGCTGCGAAGAGCAACTTTTGTGTCTGGATACATTTAAACTATGACCAGGCATGTGCATTTTTTTTTCTTCAGTAATGTTATAATAAATCAATAAACTGTGGAAAATAAGCCTATTCAAATAATGTGAGTTTCCGTTTTGTAGTGTCCGCTTTTTGCTCAGTGAATTTCAGTTGCAAAATCAGACGACCATTTTGGTCTTTATTTACTAGAAATGGATGCTCTTTGAAAGTATTATTAGACAGTGATTCTCATTTGAAGATGTTAAACAATTGGGCTATAAACAATTATTTATGGTGTGTACAAGAAACTTGCTGCTGGGCTAGTCTAGCCTCAAATCAAATTCTTTAACACCGTCAAGTATTTTCATTTTAAGCGTACTCACATTGCAAATGGATGAAATATGATATAACACTGACATTTATAAAGTATTTGGGATTGTTGTTCATTAGAGTGGATTATGTAACTGATTAAATAAACATGTAAAATTGTAAACAACATGAATTTACTTATTTATTCACATTTCTTTCAATGGGAAAATCAAATGAGCAACACATATAAATAAGACTTTAGTTATTACTTACAAGGCCTACTTATTTTACTTATTAATTTAGTAAGTAATAAGGCCAAATTATTAATTTTTAGTAAGGGCCTGCCAAAACCATAATAAATTATAGGCATAATTTAAATTAGGAATTCTCTCAAAGTTTTAATTAACTTCATTCTTGATTTGAACAATACCATAAAATATTCATTAAACACCAAATTTCAGGCTTAAGCTAGGTGCTAATAATAATATAGGCATATTAAGTTTCATACATTTTAACAACTTTGAATGACACTTGCTCAATGATAACTGCTTGATTCAAGAACCTATGCCTAAAATGATGTTGCTGTTGATTTGATTTATGTGGCAATCAATTATGCAGCATGCTGCCAAAGTCTTCATTTTCTTTCACTTCATCCAATCTCAGGCTGTGTTTTTTGCGACCAGAAAAAGCACCTTGGAGTGTGAATCCCAACTAATAATATAATATATAGGTGTATAATAAAAAAAATGATAATCAAAATACTCCAGTCTCACAAAAAAAGTTAAACTTATTCTTTTGCAAAGTATATTATTATTAGGCCTAATAAAAAATACACAAATAGTATATCTAGTGCCTCTCACTCTCTAGTGAACTAGTAATAGTACTAATAGTATTAGGTAGTATGCCTATTAGATCCCTTTTTATTTATTATATTAAATTGTACTAGTAAGCCAGCATATTACTATTAGACTATCAGATAGATCTAGTAGTAGATCTATTTATTTATTCTAGTACTAGGTCTAAAGTAACTAGTAGCCTAATGCCTGATAATTAAATAATTTAATAGGCACTATTAGTAGACTATTACTTTAGTATTAATAATTAAGTTAAGGGGAATAAGTAGGCCTAATAATAGGCCTAAGGCAGGGCATATACTAAACTATACTAATACTAGTATACTTACTAATACTTAGAAGATCCTATACAGTGACTATTATACACTATACACTGAGTATCAGTATACATTACATTTACAACACTAGAATTTAGCTAAGTTAAGTTGGTAATCTATCGTTTTGGGTACGTAAAATCGCCCGCGGCTATTAATGTACGAAAACGTTACCTCATTGTCAAGGCTGTAATAGAAGTATATTGTGATATGTTTGTGTCAAATATTATAGATAAATGAATAATAAACCTAAATCAATGGCTAAATATATCAATATAGGCCCGAAATTAACTTTAAACAGCAGTGTCTGCAAGCAAGATTTGCTATATAAACAGCAGCCATTTGTAAAATAGAATGACTTCCGCCTGAATCTTGCGCTATAAGTCTATAAAAATAAAACTTTAACAAGATGGCTGCTAAAGTAAATGAGCATGGTTGCATCTGTTGGAAACATCGCTGGTGTTCATTTATTACTGAAAAGTTTTAATTCAATTGTTTAGAAACAGGTACATAAATGAAACAAGGAAACATTTTTGTATTTTTCAAAACATAAATGCGCTTCAAAATGTGAAATAATTATTAAAATGTAAGGAGTCACCTGTTTTTCACATTACTAGTCGCGGGCGATTTTACGTACCTAAAACGATAGATTACCGTTAAGTTTGCCTAATAAAACTAATATTAAATAGGGGCCTATTAAATATTATTTAATAAATAAGGCATTTTAGGCATTATGAAGGCCTATTTGAAACATAATTAAGCTAAGTTTGAGAAATATTCTCAATGTTAAAATAAATTTTCTTTGTTACTATGTGTAAACAAAAAAAAAGCTAAGAAAGTAACAACAGGAAGTGAAAGTTGAATTTTTTCGGTGCTTTACGTTTAGTTGTGCTTTACTTTACCATAATCGTACGAATTATAAAATATATTGATTAATAAAGTTACAGTCCAGTATACATTTGTTTACTCAAAATATGTATAATAATAAAGTAAATAAGATCAACGTACGTTCTAAATAATCTTCAAGATACAACATTTCGGTTAATATAAGTTACTTCCGCTATTGCTACACAAAGCGGTGCGGCCATTAATTTACAACAATTTGGATTGGTTGATCACCGGACGACGTAGAAAATTGCATTCGCAAATATTATTTTCCAAGAAATAAGATTGGGGAAGGGGTTGCGTGACAACTTTATAGGGAAAACAATACTTTCTGTAGTCGAAGATTATTACTGTTTGATTTAATTTCATAACTGAGCACAGATTATCGCCTTTCTATAGTATGGGAGAGTGGTAAAAGAGCGGGGGTGAATGGGGGGAGGGGGGATTGACACAAAGAGAGAAAAATTGCAGATTTAACGGTGAAAATGCTTCATCCGCGTGAATAAATAAATACTATAAATAAGGTGCAGAATTTGACAAAACAGTGGAGAATAGGGTGGGGCTACCAGCAGAAAAAAACAACAAATTTTAAAGTGAAAACAATTTGAACATACACGGAGGCGCCATATTGTGACAACAAAATCAGTAGCGTACGCAGGGGGGGGGGGGGGGGGGGGGGGGGGGATTTTCAGAAAAGTGGCGCCTATTTGGAAACTTTTTAAACTCAAGTTTTAAAAAATATTTGTCGGAAATTCATTTTTGGTCAGCACATCGATGTAAATCGCTTACAAGCAGAGTTTCTTCCAGGCATTTTCCAGGCTCCGCCCCCCCCCCCGAAGAAAGTCTACCCCCCCCCCCCCCCCGAACGAGATGGATTTTATATAGTAAACATACACTTTTACTACCCCCCCCCCCCGAAAAATGTAGACCGCCCCGAAAATTTCAAAGCCCCCCCCCCCCCCCCCCCCGAGAAAAAGTCTAGAAGAAGCACTGCTTACAAGATTTCTTTTCATGCAGAAATTAAGCATTAGTACTAGATCTAGACAAGTATTAAATCATGATACCATCTATGAAACGTCTTTGTTTACAACACGTGTTAACAGCTGTATTGGTTTGCCATTCTAAAAATAACCATTACCATGCACTGCTATTTAAAAAAAAAATATACGGGTAATACCACTTGAAAAGGGGAATGTTAAGTTACAGTCCACTGTTTAATTGTTTGCTTACGAATAATTGAATAAGAAAATATTATACATAACTTTTCACAAATAATTACTTTATATTTATATATAAAGTTTGAATTGTGTAATTACGTTTTTTAAAAAAATGACAATACAGACACAAATACAACTCGTGTAGCACCTATAGATCTATATTTAAATTTACTTGTGGGCGAACTGCGTAGCAGTGTGTACATTTT